AATATGTTATATAATACTATATAATACTAACATTTTGAATTGATTTCAATATAAAGGTCTTGAGATTATTTTCTATTCAAATACAGCAACAAAAGAATCAATATAATACGAATGCTTAATCTAACCCTAAAATGTAAAAAATTGAAAGTTAAAATACCAGAAAAAAAAAATCAAATGCTATTCTAACACAGTATTAGAAAAAAAAACTAAATGCTATTCCTCCATTAATATATATATATAAAACCTTCATCTGTCTCAACACATTACAAAAAAGTACATATAGTCTATATGATATTATTTTTTTCCTAAATTAGATATTTTTTGCAGGCATGTGCTTTGGTAATGATTAGATTGGTGACAGAATCCGCAAACTCTTGATTTTGATTTTTTTTAGTTTGATTATTCTCCTGTGCATCTTTGATGCATTTCTTGCGTAGTGCTTCTTTTCCTACATGATATGCAGGATCCAAAACATTTTTAACAGAAATCAATTGTTTATTACTGTCTTGTACAATGAGAACCTTTCCTTTATTATGATGATTCTTAAAAATTCTAAGTTCCCTTTCCTGTGTTTCTTCTTCACATTCAAGTTTCTTTTTTCAATAAAGTCTTTCAATAAATTATCTAATTCATTATCGCTATCATCATCACCTTGCAGCACAACTACTTGTTTTGTGAGACTCATTGTTTTGTTAAAACGAATTTTTTTTCTAAATATTTATGGAACTGATTTTCTTAAAGATCATCAAGTTAGAGTAAATTCATCCTTGTTGAGATACTTAATAAATGTGTAATAAGATTTAATTCTGTATGATAGCTTGATGTTAAAAATGGCTTTTTAGCATATTCAGATTTTGTTACTTTGTCTTTACACTATCAAATAGCTAATAGTATGATATGAAATCTTGCAAAACTTGATTTAATTAATACACTAAAAAAGTGCTGACACACAATCCCAGAACCAATTAAAAGAAAGCAGGTGCATGAATAATGACTATTTTTAAACAATATAATATAATAAATTGACTTAGTTAAAATTAAGCATGTGATTTTCTAAACTTCTTGAATAGTTGAATATTCACTTTTACTAATTAGAGATGATAAATATGACCATGAAGTGTCATATATATTCTCAATGAAATTATTATTACATTCAACATCCTATATTCAAAGTATCAGAACTTAGTGTTTATTAAATTTAAATTAAGCAATTGTAAGAAAATTAAATCATATATTACTTACTTGGTTATTAAATTCAATATCGTTAAGCAAAATTATATATGCCCAATATATAGTAGATTCAACAATTTGTTTTTGCTGTTCTGCTGCTAAATTAGACATCAAATATTTATTGATTTGTTTAACTATTTGAGAAAAAACATGTTGCAGTATAATTTGATTGTTATAGTTAATTCGATTTTAAGACTATGAGATAAATCGCTAATTAAGTTTTCAAGATGTTGATGAATTGCCTCCATAACTTGCATTAATTTGGATGTGCTATTAACAGCAGTTTTAATAAGATTGTTGAGACTCTCAATTCTCTGAGTTGACTGCATTCCACCTGTAAAAATTTTAAGCATATAAGCATATACCTACAACTTTTTGAACTATTTTGCAACTCTGCTTTTGCTTGACCCTTTTCTAAGAAACTTGAGTTGTTGCTATATTATTATTT